TAACGGGATGGCGCCAACAATTCTTTAAGGTTTTTAGATCTGCGAAAGGATGCTATGATGGAATTTGAAGGAAAAAGCTCTTTTAACTTAGGATTGGATTCCAAAATACCCAGATGTTTTTTAATGATGCGACTTACATCAGGTAAATTTGGATTAAATGTGGTCACAAATGGGAATAATTTCCTCTTAGATCTGGCACGAGTCCTGAGTAGATCACTTCTAGGTATGGTAGAGGCCTTACGAAACTGGTCATCCACTAATTTGGAAGGGTAACCCTGGGTAACCAGTTAACCCTTGTATTCGGTTATTCTCTGGACAAGAAAAGATTGTTCGGAGCAATTTCTTTGTAACCTCGTCGCCACACTGTGGGGAATAGCTTTGAAAACGTGTTTAGGATGAGCACTTGATGGTGGGAGATACAGGTGACTATCAGTTGGCTTTGAGTAGGTCATTTACTGTAAAACACAAAGGCGGGCTATAAATAGCTTGAATAAGCGCCAGGAATTTCACCCGAAAAAAAGAATAAACTATAATTAGTGCGGAGAATTTTTTCAAATTGGGCGGGCATCAAAGGTCCCAGTCTCATCGTTGATTGGGAATTTTAGTACAACTCTCGCCTTTCAAGTCAACGCTGGTTCCTTAACATTTTCAGTGGATTCGACAATTTTTCCATTTCTTTTTATTGTGATAATCTTTCGCGTAGTAATTACTGTGTTTGTTTATATGTGTCATCACGCCCTATATGAATCTATTCAAGGAATTTGTAAGTCATTGTATTACAACTGATGAAGGTCTCGGACCGAAACGTATTTTATTAAACTTTCTTAGACCTTTTATTTGAGTACATGTCTTTCTTAGCTTGAAGTTGTCCGTCCTCGTGTACTACAATATTTTTCCTATATATGTATATACTGATGAAGGTCTCGGACCGAAACGTTTTTTATTAAACGTTTTAGACTTTTTATTGAGTATATGTCTTCCTTCGCTCGAAGTTGTTCGTCCTCGTGTGCCACACTACTATATATATACTATATATATATATATATAACTTGGGATTGGGGTATATATATATATATAGTAAGTGTAAAACGATGAAACATGAAGCAAACTTCTAACTCTTCCAGCTTTAATGTGGCGACGTTTCGGCCTTCGGCCTTCTTCAGGTGGAACGTATTTACATAAAAACTAAAAACTAAAAGTCCTTTAAATACTTTCCACCTGAAGAAGGCGGAAGGCTGAAACGTCGCCACATTAAAGCTGGAACAGTTGGAAGTTTGCTTCATGTTTCATCGTTTTACACTTACTTAATATTTTCATTAAAGCACTGTATCCTCCTTGGATCCTTCTTCTGGGAGCTCATCGATTGTTTTACCTTTTTATTCTGTTTATATATATATATATATACGACCATGTTTTAGGGATCCTTTGCATTCATTTTTGTTAGGGAGTTTTTCTGGATTAACAGTGCTGTCTGTATCGGTTTCGGATTTCAGGAATTAATCATCGGCAGCCGGAAAGACCTGGTTCCTTTTGGCCAAGTCTTCTGGTTCTTTTAAAGTGCGAAAGTATTACTTAGACACATTTTATTCACCGTTCACCGTTCACCTAACACTGACTATATGAACATATTTTAAAGATTCTTAGTGCTAATTTTTGGTCAGAAAAGTTTCCCGGACTTCCAGCTCTGGTGATTGTATCATTTTCGAATTGCCGGATTCCTCTTGTCCTCGAGAAAAACAAAGATAGCCTGGATGGCTATCGATCTCTTATTCTGCAACCTGAATTTTGCAAATGTAGTTGAGAACGACTATCCTTTTGCTAGCATTTACAAAACTTATGTACGCGACTTACACATTCAGCGCTATTAATTACATCACAGTTGGTAATCGTGTATTCATAACTTGGCACAGTTTTCGTTAAATATGCATGGCGGCATTTCACACTGTCAACTGGAGTTTTCGCATCTCGAAAGACACCTTTGTTTCGGTTTACGCCGGTTTCGCTACTAGTCTAGTTTGCTACCAACATACTCAGTTCGCTGCCTCTGTTAATTCACTGTTTTAACCACAAGCCACAAACGATATCTGCATTGTATACTCCCAAACTCAGCGTTAACCATGTTGCCGTAAAAAGATAACACGTTTGAAAGCTAGTAACATTTAGTTCGGCAATCAAGGAACAGCTTAATAAAAAAACTTTGTTCCATTTATAACTCTTAGATTGGTGACCGATCGGTAGCTTCTAGACGTTCGTAAGAAGAATGATCAGTGAAAGGTTTAAGAGGAAGAGACCTGAGAATATATTGCAAATCAATGCATGGGATGCCGTTTTTAGGAGTCAGTTTAATAAAATGACCATATGCAAACTGCCTACTACTTTTCGCCCGAGGGCAGCATTTATTTACCATGCTGTTTATTTTTTTTAATAAAAAAATCAACCAAATTTTAAAAGTAGAACAAGAGAAACCTAGTCTGGCTATACAGATCAAACTGTATAAAACTCAAACTTCCATACAGAACGCATCCGATCATTGATCACCATACCTTAAATATCCGACTGCAAAAGCTTAATTTCAAGAATGTCCGACGATTGCATCACGTGTTCAAGACCGGTTACATCGCGACAACAAGCAATTTAATGTGACATTTGCTTACAATGGAACCACAGAACCTGTAACACCGCTAAGTTATCTTTCAGACTTCATTTTCATTCAGTTTGTAAAAGCCCTTTGACCTTTTGCTCTAATAAATCGCTCCATAACGACTTATTTTTTTTTTCCATAGGAATTTCTCAAGAAGATTATTGAGCCGCCGTAACTACAGCTACCGGCATAGATTGGGTTAGCACAGCCTGTCAGTTTTTTAGTCCAGTGGCCAAGAGTTCAAGAATATCTATGACAGTCGTCAGCCGAAATTCTTGAGTCGTCAGAGTTCATCCCTCATTTGACCCACTGCGATCCTTTCCGTTCGAAAATTTCTGACCCCCCTGATCAGACAACAAGTGAAACAATGGTAAGCCTTAAAATATTTGTACAAAGTTGCAACTTCAAAATGTAATATGCTCAGTTAACTGTATAATCCATCGCTACAACTTGCTGTGAGCATTCACAGTGACAATGTTAATTAGCCTGTGTCTTCTTTAATGGTAAACTTGAAACACGAAGGCACGCTATAAAAGGAGAGGTGCCTTAGGTACCTCTCGATCATTTGTCAATCAACCGTCGCACCATACATAACTCAATATTCAAATCAGGTTGAGCTGCAGCCAATCCAAAGCAGCGAACCGCAGACAGATTTATTAAAAACTTTTTACCTTTTCATCTCAATGGAAGAATTTGTCAAGGTTTGTATTTCCGTTCTCCAGTGGAAATCGTTTTCATTAGTGGCAGTAAATTTGAAATTTGACATGATTCGCTTCGCCATCGCGTAAATATTACCACAGTGTAATATCATGTCTGTTTCTCAATACTGGATATAGACGACCATAAAAATAAAAAAGAAAGACAAAGAAATGTTCCTCCTCTTTCTTCAATAATGCGAAGGAGAAGTCGTATCACCCAAACGCAGAAAAATTCAACCATAATAAAATCAAAATAAGCTAAATTATGGAAATTAGAGTCAAAATAAGCTAAATTATGGAGATGAGAGTCAACAAGAACAACAAGACTCAATATCTTCTGATTTTTGATGCAAAATAATACTTTTACTGCGTCTTCCATGCACACCGTTTCACTTACGGTCAGACCGTTACTCACCATGTTGGATGATTCTTTCATTTGGGCTGAAATTAATGGGCGGAGCCAACCTATTTATAGCCCGCCTTTGTGTTTTACAGTAAATGGCCTTTCTGTTTAAAACACCTCTAAATAATCTATCATTTTATCTAAAATAGGAGTTACCTGGTGGTGATGCTATTAAAGACAAAGGATAATAATTAATGTGCGAAACTTCTTTTTAATTGTAAGTAACAAATATCTCAATATAACAGTACTGGTACTCTTTTTGGAAATAAAGAAGAAATATCGGCAAGGCAAATTACCATAAAATTGAGACTGTAATAGCTCTTATCGAAGTTGAGTACGCCACCCAAACGATCCAGCGGTATTTCTGTGAGCAAACGTGAAAGCGAGGTTATTGAGTCAACATCAATCAGACTTGGTTGTAATTGCATAAGAAAGTGATAAAAAAGCTATGCACTCTGCCAAAAGTCTTCCAGAAGCAGCCTCCTTTTCCACTGAGAAGAAAGTACAGTTACTTAGCGGTAATTGCCCACAGAATCTTACCAAAGAAAGACTAAAAGAGTGGTTGTCATTCTGAAAGGGACGGCGAAAGATGGTAGCGCGCGGTCCGAGGCTACGAAGGCTGAGTTATCTCAAAGGTATTTATAAGATTGCATTAGTTTTTGTCACTTCTAATTATTTGCATTGCTTAAAGGGAATTTCGAAGCATAAGCTCTGTATCGACTTGACTTCCGTGAATCTGCACAGTGGGTTTCACTGGTTGATGCGAAGGACGATGTCCCTTCATTCAATCACAATTGACGGTCGCCGTTTGGTCCACTGGTTTACTTGCTGCCAAGTGTTGCCACTTCTCCGTAAAATTATCCTCACAACTATTTTTGATATATCTGATGACCCTGCGGCAAGTAAAACAAGTCGATATAGTGGCAAAAACTAATGCAATCTTATAAATACCTTTGAGATCACTCAGCCTTCGTAGGTTCGGACCGCGCGCTACCATCTTTCGCCGTCCCTTTTCGGAATGACAACCACTCTTTTAGTCTTTCTTTGTTAAGATTCTGTGGGCAATTACCACTAAGTAACTGTGCTTTCTCCCCGGCGGAAAAGAAGGTTGCTTCTAGAAGACTCTTGGCAGAGAGCAGAGCTTTTTTATCACTTTCTCATACATGAACTTGAACTTTATTTTTATTTAGACACGGTAAATCTATCAGATAATTAATGATATCTTTACAATCTATTATTAGAATTACAATCTACTTTAATCTATATAAACATGATCTAAAATTTAAAACTGAAATAGAAAAAATAAAGAAATTCTGCTTTACATAGATGCCGTGTGCGTTTTGTCGATTCAGACGAAGAAATCGCGACAACCATTTCGAAAAGATTGAAGTGATTTTGCTTACCGCAATTCAGGGGACAAACTATTCCAGATAACCGCACCATTATAGCTAAAGCTTTTTTTCAGGAAATTGGTGCGGAGCAATGGAACAGCTAGTTTGTTTTCAGAGTCCCTGAGATTATAAGGAGGATCATATTTAGTGAAAAGATAACCAAGACAGTCGGGCGCAAGACCATGTATAGATTTATAGACCATGGTGGCCACATACAATTGCAACCAAGTCTGATCAATGTTGACCCAATAGCCTCCCTTTGATGTTTGCTCACAGAAATACCGCTGGATCGTTTGGGTGGCGTACTCAACTTCGACAAGGGCTATTCGAAACTGGCGTTGTTTAACAGAGGCATTTGTCCGCGCGTGCGCAAGTGGAATAACTTTGTCGTGTTCAGCGCCATTTGTAGAGTTTTTGACGCGTTTCTACGAGGTTTCAACTGGATGATCACCACCTTTTTGTAATATTTTTAATTAAAAATGGATGAAGGAGTATGACAAGTTCACCAACATTTCTAACTCTGTGGATACTCATGGTGTTTGCTGGCTCTTCGGTCGAGGATATTATAATGGTCAAAGTGTGAACAAAATGCGAAAAAAGCCCGAGAACTTGAAGTTTGAGATTTGATTTACTGAAGATCTAAATGTACACACGAGACAACAAACCTTGAAGGTTAGTCTTAAGATGTTGATGTTTTAATTTTGTGAATGACAAAGTTGTACGTGGAGACAATCGTGAGATATTTGATCCGAGGAAAGATGGAAATTTAGATTTTGTTCTTATTTTACTTCAACTTCGAAGTAAAATTGCGTTAAGTTCAAGGTGGCACCCAAGCATCAAATCACTTTAAATAACATCGTCTTTTCGTTCTCTTTACAGCCACAGATTTCTTGAGATTGAAGATGGGAATTAACTGTTCTGTTCTCTTCTGTTTAAACACGAAGGCGCGCTATACAAGGAAGTCTTCCCTGGGAAGACCTAGGCTCATTTGTCACTCGCCGTTGACGTGTGCGGGTCAAATTTAAATGCTGGTAGACGAACAAAAGGAGCTAATGAGATATCTATTGTTTACTTCCACCAGCATGGTGGCATGAGGTAACGTGCGAACCAGCTACTTCGATCTCAAATTTACCGCCTCAAATAAAGACAGTTTCCATTGGAGAAAGAAAATACAAATCTCAAAAATTCTTGTATTGTGATGAAGACAAAACAATTTTGAGGAATGCGCCCGCTGTTCACTGGTTTGGAGTAGCTGTAGCTCAAGCTGACTTGACTCAAAGAGTTCTACATCTCACGATGATTGATTGACAAATGGTCCAGTGGGACCTAAGGCTCCTGCCTCTCTGTTACGTTGTTTCAAAATTTCCATACTCAAGATTGTAATTCGAACCTGTCTTGGCAAGTCTTGGCATAAAAATATTTAGTCGAACTCGAGATATAGCGTTCCGGAATACTTTCATAACGGCGCCGCATAGCGCATAGCTGTTACTGTGTTCCGTTCGAATAGCGCTCCGGAATAGCTTTACTGTGTTACGATCGAATAAAGAGCGAACTCGGCATGTTCGTAGTGAACATATGTAGCGAACTTGATCGTAGCGAACTAGACAAGTAGCGAAACCGGCTGTTACCTGTGTTTCCCGAAGGAAATTAGTTGTTTCTCGAAAGACATCTTGTGTTTCCCGAAGGAAATTAGTCGTGTCTCGAAAGACATATTGGGTTTCCCGAAGGAAATTATTTGCGCATCGAAACACACTTTGTGTTTTCCAAAGGAAATTATTTGTGTGTCGAAAGACATTTTGTTTTTCCCGAAGGAAACTCAACGTTCTCCAAAGAAACTTTTTTGACTCTTCGAGGTGAAGAGCCAAAAGATTTACATAACCCCACTAACTGCGTGGAACTGCACAAGTCATTCGATCATCCTGGCAACTAAACAAACACTTCGACTCAGTAGTCGTCTTCTCGCTATAAAATTTCCAAAGAACCTCAAAAAACCTGGACAAATCCTTAAGAACAAACACTTCTCAGATTCATAGAAATCTATGCTTGTTATTGATGAAAAATTGTAAGAGATCATTGTAAATAACATAGACACTCACCTTTATTGACTTGGGGTCTGCGTTTAAGCATAAGCACGTAGAAGAGACTCTTGTAAAGACACTTGCATCATTAAGGCCAACAACCGACCGTCGATGCTCTTATTGGCCACGAACACTATCCGAGGATTAGGCGCTTACGGACGCACTCTGATTGGCAACGAAAACTTTCATAACGCACTGTGATTGGCTACGAAAGCTATCAGAATATCAGGGCTACACGAACGGACATCGAAAAGGGTTAGTGACTTACAAAGATAATCACATTAGTAGCTACGCCTCTTTGAGGCAGGTGCGACGAATGATCGTGCATATTATCATGCATTATCAAATACCCCTATCACCTGTGATAGAATAATTATAACTCTGAATATAGGTTGATGATCTTGGCATTAAATCAGTTCTTTGGTTTCTGCTTGATCAAATGTAGTTGGCCGTTGTAATTGTCATAGCGCTCGTTACATGGTGTCAGGATACCGAACCTATGTAAAGTATTTTTGCTGAAATAGCAAAAATAGCTACGTTACTGACGGTGATCGGAGCCGAAGCTAGGAAAGTTTTCTCGACGTTTACGTTCGACGAAGGTAACAGTGACAGAATACAGCCGGTGTTAGAGAAGTTTGCTGCTTATTGCCAGCCGTTGAAGAATGTTCCTTTTGAGAGATACAGGTTTTACTCTACAGCGCAAGAAGCGGGAGAATCGTGCGACCATTATCGGACAGTCCTGCGACAATTAGCTGGTCGATGCGAATTTGAAAACATTACGGCAGATCAAACTTTACGGGACAAGCTCGTTTTCGGAATTCAGGATTCAAGGGTACGTGAAAGGTTGCTTCGCGAAAAGAATTCGTCACTTGAGAAAACTGATGAAATTTGTCGGGCGCACGAGACAACGATTGAAAAAATGAAAGTTGTTGGAGGTGCCAACCCTAGGGATACAGATCTGGGTGATGTAAATGCCTTTTCTAAAAAGTCAAAAGGAGGGAAAAGGAGGCGTGGTCGATTCCCTAGAGGTGCTGGAGCACAATGTAACGTAGCCCCTTTGCATTTGAAAAAGAAAGCGACAAGAGACTTTAATTTTCTTAACGTGTCCCCAGTAAGCACCGTGATTATTTCGTATGGTGGGACATCGATTCCTATCCTTGGTAGAGTTCGTTTGAGAGTTTGGCGTGGAGATTTCAGATGTTTTCTTGACTGTAATCTGGTGGACAGCAAAAGGGTCAGGCCTATACTTGGAAGGAAAGCTTGTCTTCGAATGAAAATCATCAAGTACTGACACAATAATAAGTTAAATCGGCCCCAGACCTCTGAAGGTGACGTATATGCCCATGATGCGCCAACCGAGCCTGTTTTGTCCGCTGACCAGTTGGTCAAAAAATTCCCTCGCGTTTTCAGTGATGGAGTTGGTAAACTTCCTGGAGAAGATCACATGGAGCTAGATGAAGCGGTGAAGCCGGTTCAACACCCTCCTCGCCGAGTACCGGTTGCCATCCGAGAACGTCAACGAGAGACTTTAGGAGATTTGGAGAAGCGAGAAATTGTAGTTCGTATGACAACGCCCACAACTTGGATTAGTTCAATGGTTGTCGTACCGAAGCCAAATGGTGCCTTACGCATTTCCTTGGACCCTAAGGATCTCGATCGGGCTCTGCGACGAGAGAATTATCCCTTGCCTACCATCGAAGAGGTTGCTTCTAGGCTACATGGAGCCAAAGTGTTTACTGTCCTTGATGTTGTCTGTAGATTCTGGCATGTTGCCCTTGACGAGCAGTCGTCGTTCCTAACTACCTTTAACCCTTGGCATACTACGGAGGGGTAGGGTTAATTTGAGAGAATACAAGTACTATGCGTTACAATGCTTGCCAAGCAAATACATTACATGGAAACCTCACAAAACCATATATATTCACAAAGACCATTAAATTTTTGTTCATGTCAATTAAAAATATTTTGGGATATATGAAGTCACGCGATATCACAGCGTGTATAATTTGGATAATTATGCCAATTTTATAAAGTAGATGAAAAATTCCTCCTAAACCCACGATTTTGGAATATCTGATCGTTCAAAAGTTACAGTTCACAAGATAACAGGCTAAAAAGTGTCCCCCTACTAAACAGTTTGCCAATTAGTGCTTAAATAAGCTGTATAATACATGTGAAAAGGTAAAATTATGTAACTTTTGACAAGAGAAACAGTTTTAGTAAATCACAATTAACTCGTTCATACAATCACATATTTTGCAGATTTCATTTATGCACACTTCAACAAACCCTGACATATTTAATTTTGCAGTGATCTCCTTCTTCCCCTAAGAAAAGGCCTCCTTCCTCCCTCTTTCAGTCGTCAAGGGCCATTGTAATGGTCATCATCAAAATAATAAAATTCTAATGTGTGATATCTATTGAAACATGGTTCTGGACACATTCTAATTCCACAAACAGCACAGGTGTATGTAGTTTTCACTTGTTGAATGTGTACCTTACAGGTAGATCTGGTGTCATGACTGATAAGGTGATGGAAATGGTCACAGTTGAACCTGATATCAGGGAGACGGACAGGAATGTGATGAATTCCTGTGTCTCTCCTAAAGGATTTGCTCTCAACTAGTGCTTTAAGCACTGACTTCCTAAACTCAAGACTTGAAATGGAGGCATGATTAGGGGATTTACAATGCAGAATAAGTGCATTTCAAATACACACCTCAATCAGATAAAAAAAATCTTAAAATACCAGACCACCCCCCTCATGAGTCGGGCATAAGACACAACCCTTTGGTCTTACAAATCTACACCACCCATATAAGTATTATAGAGGTCAATTACACCTGGCCTAGCAAAGTCCCTTTTTTCCTAAGTTCCTTCCACTTTCACAGAGCGTGTAACAACACTTTCGTCTGTTTCACTCATGGGAATGGTGGCTAAAACACTCACTGGTTTTCAGTCACGCCATGTCACGCATGTCACATTTCCCTTCTGCCTATACAAACTTTCCCCCCTTTTAAGCTCTTTCACTTTCTTTTCTTTTGGGCCACAAATTTCTTTTGGCAGGCCTGACCTATTAGACCTTACTGTCCCACATGCAAGAGTGCTCCTCTCTTCAAGTTCCTCATACAAAGCAACTGGAGTGTAATAGTTGTCCATAAAGACATAGATAGATAGATAGATAGATAGATAGATAGATAGTTTATTAATAACCGATTTGCAACCAAAATTTGAATTATACGATTATTTACAGGTTTCAATCATTTATAATTACGTTAAATAAACTAAATGTATTAAAACAGCAATAAGGACATTAAATACATGTTCTAAAAAAAAAACGGTTGTATAAAACCGTTCAAGCCTTAAGGACACTGAAGGTAATAAAACTATTACGAAACCTGTTCATCTTAAAAACTGGCTTAAACTTCCGCATATTTCTCAGGTTAAAGGTACATGTGTTGCGAGTAGGAAGAAGTTCATGGAGCTTGTTCTGTTCATTCTGTAAAACATTCTTAAATAGTTTATCAACTAGTTTCTGGCGGCGATCTGAAAGTTTAGTCAGCCCTGATTCAGCTAAGGCCTCATTATATGAGCAAAGAGGAAAAATAATGCGCGTAGCCCGCTTTTGTATTTCTTTAAGTTCGTTGGAGAGATACACGGGGAGGCCGTCATGGAAGACAGGACATGCATACTCTGTAATCGGACGAACACAAGAGCAGAAAAACTGGACTAACTCTCGGGTACCAAGACCAGAGCGTTTAAGTTGAGATAAGCAATACAAGCGCTTTTTAGCTTTCTTAACAATGGAGTTACTGTGACAATTCCATTTCAAATCATTAGAGATGTTAAGGCCTAGTATTTTGGCACTAGTAGTTAGGTCAATGGGCTTGCCATTAACAACAACTGGATCGAAAGAAGTAGGGTTGTTAGTGTTAAAGTTTATGAGCAGTTTGCATTTCGTCTCGTTTAGTTGAAACTTATCCTCGGTCGCACGGCTTGCTAGGGTGGCAACAGCAGCTTGAATGTGACTGTCTTGGTTCTTGCTTATCGTCTCCGAAATAAGACATGATATCCTTTGTCTAGGTAAGGCTCCATAACTGACATTACAGCCTTTCTACCTAAATCTCTCTGGACTTCATCCCCTTCTTTCCCTGTATATATCTTGCTATTTAACAAATAGCCACTGGTAGACCCTGCAAGAGTAAAGGCCTTAATTCCAAACCTCCCGGGCCTGATCGGAAGGTACTGTCTAAAGTGTACTTTCCCTTTGAACTTTATCAAAGTTTCATCAACATTAAGCTGCCTGTTAGGTTTATACACTTGCTGAAACTTGGGTATTACCAAGTTCAGGAATGGCTGAATTTTGTACAATTTGTTGTAACCAGCTGAGTCAGCCCTGGGTGCTTGGTTGTTATCTGCAAAATGTAAGTATTGCAGAATCTGCACGAATCGATCCCTGGACATTATGCTGGGGAAAATTGGAGAGCTAAGAGCAGGATCTGTGCTCCAATAAGAACTAAGGTTTGGTTTGGTGACTAAACCCATATTTAAGTACAGGCTGACCCAAGCCTTCATTTCATCCGCAGTGACTGGATACCAGACTGATCGTTCTTTAGGGCCCCTCTTTTGTTCTGCATATAGATTGGTTTGTTCGACTAGCAACTGCCATACCTCTTCAGTAAAGAACAGGAAAAAGAAATCTAGGCAAGATCGAAGGTTTTGAGAATCAACATTTATTCCAACCTCTTCTTGAAATTGTACATCTTCCCTACGATTGATTTCCTCAGACCAGTCAGTTTCCTCCACATCCTCATCCATTTCCTGGTCTATGTCTTCGTTAGAGGTGAGATCATCCGAATCCTCTAGGTGAGATTCCGACTCATCTGAGAAGAATTCGTTCTCGGAGAGTCGATGCTCAGTAAAATGGGCCAAAGGAAACTTATTTTCGTCTGCAAACTGAATCTTTACGCCACTTTCACGGCTTCTAACGTCAGAATCTCACGGAGAATCATTGCTTGCAGCTGCCATTTTTAAATCACCCACATATACAATGTGTCGACAAAGACAACCTCGATAATTTCTCTCGAAAAGTACCAAATTCGGTCAAATTTTGGTAAAGCGTTCATGTTAGGTCCATATCACGTCCCAATAACTAATACATATTAATATTAAGTATTATTACCTTCATGTATATTGCACGATATGTCCTATGTAACCTTGTTCTATCAGTTACCTTTATTCTACCTCACTAACTCCCATCTACCCTAGCAAACCCATGTCCTATCACGTTCACCCTCATCTACCCTAGGTAAGCCATGTTCTACCACGTTTACCACCATCTACCCTTGTTTAGCCATGTTTTACCACGTTCACCCTCATCTACCCTAGGTAACCCATGTTCCACCACGTTTACCCCCATCTACCCTTGTTTAGCCATGTTCTACCACGTTCACCCTCATCTACCCTAGGTAACCCATGTTCTACCACGTTTACCCCCATCTACTCTTGTTTAGCCATGTTCTACAACGTTCACCCTCATCTACCCTAGTTAACCCTTGTTCTACCCCGTTTACCCTCATCTACCCTTGTTTAGGCACATTCTACCCTGTTCACCCTCATCTACCCTATTTAACCCATGTTCTACCCCGTTTTCCCCCATCTACCCTTGTTTAGCCATGTTCTACCACGTTCACCCTCATCTACCCTAGGTAACCCATATTCTACCACGTTTACCCCCATCTGCCCTTGTTTAGCCATGTTCTACAACGTTCACCCTCATCTACCCTATTTAACCTTTGTTCTACCCCGTTTACCCTCATCTACTCTTGTTTAGGCACATTCTACCACGTTCACCCTCATCTACCCTAGTTAACCCATGTTCTACCCCGTTTTCCCCCATCTACCCTTGTTTAGCCATGTTCTACCACGTTCACCCTTATCTACCCTAGGTAAACAATGTTCTTTCACGTTTACCCCCATCTAACCTTGTTTAGCCATGTTCTACCAAGTTCACCCTCATCTACCCTAGGTAACCATGTTCTACAACGTTTACCCCCCATCTACCCTTGTTAACCCTTGTTCTTCCCCGTTTACCCTCATCTACCCTTGTTTCAGGGTAGATCAGGGAATGTGCTGATCTTATTTGTGTGCCGATATGTGACATTTTCAATCAATCTATTAGCCAAGGGACGTTCCCAGACGACTGGAAATATGTAAGGATTAACCCTCTTTATAAACAGGGTGACCGCGGTAATGCTAACAATTACCGCCCAATATCGGTGATTCCAATAATGGCGAAGGTGTTTGAAAGGATAGTTTATGAACAGTTATATGCCTATTTAGAAGAGCACGATATTCTACGTCAAAACCAATCAGGGTTTCGTGCTAATCATTCAACTGTAACAGCTTTGTTGGAAGCGACAGATTCTGGGGCATATAATACTGATAACGAGAAAATCAATGGAGTCATTTTTCTAGATTTGAAAAAAGCTTTTGATACTGTTGATCATCAGATCCTTCTATCGAAACTAAACTATTATGGTATACATGGAAAATCTTTCAGATGGTTTCAGTCATATTTGGAAAACCGAACACAAAAATGCTCTGTCAACGGGTCGCTATCCAGTAGCTACTCGTTGACTTGCGGCGTCCCTCAAGGGACCATTCTCGGTCCATTATTGTTCTTATTATATATCAACGATCTTCCAAATTGCTTATCAAATTGTAAACCGAGAATGTATGCCGATGACACGCACCTCACATATGCGGGAAGCAATCTTGAGAACGTTCAGTTTTGTCTAAATGAAGACCTAGAAAACGTCTTCAACTGGCTACAAGCGAACAAACTCACGTTGAACATGACTAAAACCGAATTCATGCTAATAGGGTCGAGGCAGAGACTGAATACTCTCACAGCTTCACCAACAATTAGAATGAACAATACTCAAGTGAGCCAGGTT